TGAGTTTATAGATGTATATACTAAACTATAGTATGTGGTATGTACGCATATCGATACTTTGGGATTCCCAGAGTTTAGTGGGTGAGACTCTCCCTCCTATTCGTCTTGGGACTGCTCTCTGTTTGTGTGCGTAATTCTTATGCGTTTATGTCATCATGCCAGTTACCCAGTACACACTTCCGAGTGTTCTATGCACAATCATAATTTGTCAGGATTCTTCTCTCTCTCTCTCTCTCTCTCTCTCTCTCTCTCTCTTTCTCTCGTTTTCTGAATCCTTCTTGCTCTCTCTCTCTCTGTCTCTGTTTTTCTGCTTATTTCATGCTCTCTCTCTCTCTCTCTCTCTCTCTCTTCCCTCGTACTCTCTTTCTCTCTCTCTCTCTACTGTTTGCTCTCTTCCTCTGAAAAGGGCTACTAGGTCTCTCTCTCTCTCTCTCTCTCTCTCTCTCTCTCTCTCTCTCTCGCTCTCTCTCTCTCTCACTCAGGTTTTCTTTCGAAAGGCCTATTCAGAATGAATGTGCTGTTGTTTCAATGCACAGTAAGGTTGTAGGCATGTCATTGCCTCAACGTCTACTGCAGCTGATGTTTTGTTCCATTTTGATAATAAGTTTCCTCTCCTCCCTCCCGTAATTTGTTTTGATGCCGTGCTTGCATCTCCTTTAATATCAATGAAGTCACTTTGATGGCAATGTCTTCTGGACCATGTCGTGTGGACGAGACGGAGTTGGAGTTGGCGTCTTCTGGACTTACGTTGTGTCTGCCTGCAGTACTCCCGTGCTCTCTACTTGTGTTGTCCCCTCCAACGGTGCTTCTCCTTGACAATTCGCAGTGACCGTTTCCCCAGTTCAGAAGGAGGATCTGCGAGCGAGGCTGTCAGGTGGAAATTCCAATGCACAGTCAGCGAAGTCCGCCGTCACTCCGTCACGACAGTTCTCACAGACAGGGACCCAGGCAAATGGATCGCTGGCGTCAGGGGACCTGAGGAGAAAGCTCATGCGCACAAACCAGACTCCGGCTGTGACCCCATCCAGCATGCAGCGTCTCAGCTCCGTTGTGCAGGACACGTTGCCGGCGAGAACGCCCGCTGTGCGCACAGTGCGAACGGTCACTATGCAGACCCCGACTCCTGCTCAAGATGTAAGTCTCGCTTCTCTCCCTCTCTCACTTTGTCTCTCTCTCTCGCTCCCTCTCTCATGACTCAGGCGGTAAGTCCTATGCCTTTTTCAGTTGCCGTTGGTGGTCAACCGTCTTGCTGTCGTGTCGCGTAAAGATCCGCACCCTTGCAGGGCAACAGTGAAGATGGATTGCTGCGTGTTTCCGTCAGGGTGGCTGTCGCCCATGGGACAGTCAGTGCTGCCTGGCCTCTGACTAAATGCCTAACGCCAAGAAATGATCACAGTGCATAAGTCTTAATCAACGTGGGAGTTCACCTCTCTTTCCCCTTCTCTCACAACATTTGGGGTTGAAGGTCGATGGCTAAGTACATGGCAACAGAATTGTCGCAATCTATGAACCTATGTTGTTCTTCTTTCGACTTTATCTAGGCATCATAATTTAATTTACTAAATAGATTATGATGTTTACGGTTTGGAAAAGAAAGCAAAAAACGATGTTTACTGTAGTACGTACCTGCCATTGATCTTCAGGGTCAGTAGCGGAACGTTCTGTAAGTTGAGGAAGGCTGTTTGTGAAAACATCTGGAGATATCAGAAGTGAGAATGCTTGACATGAGTAACAAAAAATCAGGTGAAAAACATGATCGCTGAAAGTTCAAGGGTTTCTGCGTTCAGTCAATCTACCCAGATTGAATATGTCCAGCATTTCCGATGGGTCAATGTATATAGGTCCCGGCAATACGATATGACGAGTCGGTGGAACTCCGACGAAACAGTTTGTCACAGCCCCTCCTCGTTTGTTGTCTTCTCCCTCTTTGCCTGTGGTTTACCGGGAAGTTCTGTTTGGCGATATATACAAATTACGTACAACAATTAATGCGGTGCCACATACGTCTTGAGGGCTCAGTCAGAGATAACAAAACTTCTTCTAGGTTGTAGTGTCAGTGGGAGGAAGATCTGAGCGTACATCATCTGCTGGCGGTACCAACCAGCGGAGATCTTGAAAAGCAGACTATAAGTAGAGAGTAGAATTAACACAATAGACCTAAAAGCATGGAAAGTTTCTTGTTTGAAATACTTGAACATGTCAAGATGGTGCTCTGGCAGTACCAGACAGCAGAAAGATTGCATGACAATAGGCGAAATTATCTAGATGATCAATCAGATCACTACATGTATAACAATTGCTATTTGGCAGCCTGTGACCAGCAGCTGATCTGGGCCCTCGGTTCCCTTGACGCACGCACACACACACGCAGACATGAATGCATGCACACACGCACGTGCACACACACACACACCCGCACACATGAACGCATCCACACACACACACACGCACGTGCACACACACGCAGACATGAATGCATGCACACACACGTGCACACACACGCACGTGCACACACATGCACACACATGCACACACACCCACATATACCCAAGTGGTTTTGACTGGCTCACTGTCATTATTAGACCCCGAAAAAAGAACTAAGTGGAGACAGGAACCCCTTGCAGGGAAAGATTGCGTAGATCCTGAGGTCTAGAAAATAATAAAATATTGCTTTGTGCGTACCGAGGGAAAATGCGCACTGGCAAGGTAGTATATGTGAAATTGATGTTTGACCGAAAAGGTCAGTTGCTATCCAACTGCACCCATCTCAACACATTTGCATTTTTTTTTTTTTTTTTGCTTTCTTGGGCAGAGCCGCAACAGGTAAGCTAGGTATTATAAAACAGATTAGCAGTGGATATATAGGTTATTCCGTGCGTGAAAGAATTCCAAGCACAGGGCTCTCTGTGAGTTTGGCAAGACTGACTGTCCTGTATGGATCTGACCCCTACCGTCTTCCTGGAAATGGAATGTCCGGCCATTATCGTGGTATGTAGACTGAATGTTGTTCCAAATTCAGCTACGACGAACGTACGTTGTATTCGGGGCAAGACGGGTAGGCGAAAGATAAGTTGGGTCCCTCCTTGTCACCACCACTAGGGTGTCTGTCGCCTTTGGGGATCATTTGCAGCTACCAGACCGGTGAGTAAATTGCGACAGTAGAAAATGATACCAGAGGGGGAGCAAAAAAAAATCTGGCATAGCTACAATTGCATTGGAAGGCGATTGGATAAGCCTGAGCTTTTTTAATGGTCTACTGTCTTTTCCCAAATTAAACGCACCCTTATCGGAAACGACTTTAATTGGATGGGAAGGGTTTGTATACGTTTATGGTGATAGGGTGTTATGTTGGGCCGACAAAGGTAGTTTGATCTGAGTTTGGCAGGGTGCGGAAGCTGGGAACGGAAAGGGTGGTGGCCATGGTTGTGGTGGGAGGGGGTGGGGACTCTTAAACAGGCCAGCAGGTCTATGGTAATAAGTTATACCAACGAATACTGTTTTTGAAAATCGGCCCAACCCAAGTCTTTGTCCGAGCGCCCGCCACCCCGGTTGTTGCTACGGTGGAAAAGGGGTTGGTGATGCAGTGGTGATTTGAGTAATGATCGTACCTGTGGGCTGGTGCCGTCTGTACCTAAGGGGGTTGGGTGCTAATCTAAGGGTAACAAATTGTTTGGTACAATCGCTTGGTACACAGATCACCTGGGACAGTCTTATGGTCCCTGGCATCTAGGGCTATCTGTAGGGCCCAGTGAGTGCGGTCCCAGATGAAGTGGGACCGCTTGAGCAGATTTGGTATCAATGGGTTTGCGATCTCCTTGAACAGCAGTCCCTTTCCCAGCTAATTTGTTTCGACACTGTGGGTTAGCAGGGGCCTGGCCTACCGGAAGTAAAAGGCGGGTGGCGCCAGGCAGAAAGAAAACATATCGTGCCCTTGCCAGCGTTTGTTTTTGCGGCGCAGAGGCGGCAAGTTCACAGGGGCATGCGTAGTGGAAGGAAATGGCTGCTGGCACCGGGCAGCAATAATTTTTTTGAGCCCTCGCTGGCATTTATTTTCATGGTGCAGAAGAAATCCCGGTTGGGAGAAGCGGCGCAGAGGGACTGGTGGGCTAGCACCAGGACCTTCGAGCCTTGTTTTCCCCACAATGATTTCTCTTGCATGCCAATAAAATTTCCAACAGGTGCCAGACACCTCCGGGCATTTCGGTCCGGTAGGCCATGCGCGGAAGTGCTGCTGGCGAACAAAATGGCTGGGAAAGGTTCTGGTTATGGACCGTCTGATGGTGTGTGTACCGGAGCGAAACAGGGGCAGGTCACCACGAGTGTTGGACTCGTGCTATGGAAGCAGGATCATGGCCACGATTATGACCAGGTTCATGCCTTCGCAGCATGAACATGACCACAGTGGGGCTTACCTTAAAGCCGACTTTTGATTCACACCCTTTCCGTTTCACCTCACTGGGTTCTGCACGAACAAAGCAGGATCATGGCCACAATTACGACCAGGTTCATGACTTTCGTTTCACTTCACTTTAGTTCTCGAGAATGCCTGGTCATTTCCCCTACCCTTCTCCCTTCTCCGTCCCCTGGCGGTTTGTCCTTATAGCCACTGTGCATTTTCACAACGACTCTTCTCTCTCTCTCTCTCTCTCTCTCTCTCTCTCTCTCTCTCTGCATGTGGTCTCTCTCTCTCTCTGTNCTCTCTCTCTCTCTCTCTCTCTCTCTCTCTCTCTCTCTCTCTCTCTCTCTCTCTCTCTCTCTCTCTCTCTCTCTCTCTCTCTCTCTCTGCATGTGGTCATGGCACATGCCTGCTCTGTTATCATCAGCAGATTGCGAACAGAGGTTCTATTCTATGGAGATCAGGAGATTGGTCATTGAATGGACTTTCAGAAAAACGGATGCAATCTCGAACTGTCAATTGGAAGACTTTGATTGAGGTCAGTGCACTGATATCAGAGGGTAGAGTTTCAAACTTACGATCGCTTATTTTTTACTATTAAATTACAGTAGTTAAGAAGGTAATTTATTAATTTAATCTGTCTGCTCAGACTCTGCTGCCATATTTCAATTTCATTAACTCAACAAGGTAAATTCAATCTGTCTGAAAAAGAAAGAAAACAAAATCTGCCTGCTCAAACTCTGCTGCCAGACACTCCTGCGATTTTTTTTTTTTTTTCGCGCCAACAGACCGGTTGCTTATTACCGGCAAGCAGAGAACAAGTTAAAGTACACATAGAGAAGAACAGAGCTGGACCCAGATATGCCCCTGCAGGCTGAGTCGCGGCAGGAGAGGGGCTGGGGGGGTGCAACGTCGGGACACTTTGCTACCCCTGGCCTGGGACCATCATAATGGCCGGGAAACATCCTTCTGTTCCCAGTTGCTCATTATGAGCGTCCCTGGGCAGTGGGCCCCAGTCTCGTGCGAGCCCACCTAGTCGGCGCCGTATTTCAATTTAATGAACTCAACAAGGTAAATTTAATCTGTATGCTCAGGCTCTGCTGCCATATTTCAAGCTCATTAGGCGATTCAACTTAGTGAACTTAAATGCCAACTGTGGCGGGACACACGCCGGGGTGCCCAGCAGTAAAAAGAAAAAGCGTTGTGGGGAATCCTCAGGCAGGGTTCCTACAGTCCCAACGCAAAAAAAAAAAAAAAAAAAAAAAAAAAAAAAAAAAAAAACTGAGAAAAAGATTTATTGTGTAGAATTGCAGTGCGAACGGCTTTTGGCTGAGGGTCGCATCAGAATGCCTCACGGAATAGAATGTAAAAAAATAAAATAGCAGAATCACACTAAGACACCTGAGAAAACACCACCGCCAAAAAAATAAAAATAAAAAAAATCGATTTTCTTTTTACCACGTCTGGGCACTACGGGCGTCAGATACTCCCGGGAAGGCTAGTGCACTGCAAGAAATATCACCTTCGGTACCTTCTGAAAAAAGTGGTTATAGTCAAAATAGTAAAATACAAAATTGTTATTTCAAAGTCGTGCTCTCCCTCAACTAACAGAATTTCATAGAATAACACATGGCCCCCGTGCCCGGCTGGCCTGGCCCAGCGGGCGTGACAATCTTCCTTGGTCTGCTGCCATATTTTCAATTTTATTTGGTACACCGGTGAACTGTTGGTGATGTCAACAGTTTATGGGTGTACCAACTGAGCTAGTTGGTAGTTCAACTGGGCTAGTTCAAGGTGTACCAACTGAAGAATTTTATTCGGTACACCCTTAAGTGGGCCTACAGTAGTTCAGTTGGTGCACCCATGTAACTGCTGAAATACAGACCCAAGCTCAAACTCAGATGCAACCAACCTGAACAGAGTGCCATAGTTCTGAATTACTTGTTAAAAAAAAAAGCCTGGGGCTGGTCAGTTCAATCATGTCAAGGCTGTCGCCATTTCAGAGGTAAAATGAACTTACCCTGAGGCTGGTCATTTGACTGATGAAATCCCACGGCTGTCGTGCGCCATTTCAAAAAGGACGTAAGTAAACTACTACATGTTTGCTACCAAGTTTGTGGTGGTTTTCGATAATTCACAAAACAGGTGCAGAGACACATGAATCTCCCGGGGCACAACTGCAGGCGCTCTCTATCAAGCGCTTAGAAGTAAAAAATGTGTTTCGTTTTCGGCTTTCTACTAAGTTTCTAGTAGTTCGCAACTGTGCAGCTTCCCTGGAAGTCCTTCTAGTGAGATATAGCTGATGTACAACTGTAGAATGTTGACTTTTATTTAAATTTATTATTCATTTAGCCGACCAGATAGGTGAGCAGTGTATCAATTTGACTGAGTGCAAAGAATCCAGATCTAAGGGGACGACTATGTGGCGAGCACCGATCCCACACGGGCTCTCGAGGCCTGGAATTGGGCCAGTTTCAGGCCCTGGTCTGCACAGACGGCACTTTGGGCAGTTTGCAGGGCCATGACCACCTTCTTGGCCTTTTATAGGCCCAGGTTGGTTGGCTTCGGCGTGGGTTTGAGTTTTGGTGTGTTTTATTTATTTTTCTTAGATTTACTTTGATTTCAGAGGACTTTCGTCTGTTCCATGTTCTGTGCGGTCCCGGATGTTTTGTTTGGTCTTTTGTCTGGTTTGGGCCTGTTTCAGGTCCAGCGGTCGTTTTTCAGGCCGGCCACACTTTATTTTGGGCTGAACCAGTTACTGAGTTCCAGCCCTGTTTTGCCCGTTATAGCGCAGTGCGGCTGAGACAGCACGACGCCTGGATGTCCGGTTGGGACCCAGGCAGGCCAACTTTTCAGCGGAGCTTCTGGACCTTTCCGACAGCCTGCATCCGGGACAGTGGATCGTCATATAGATCCAACGGCCTTGATCCAGGCCGCGTCCAGTTCTAGTAGGTCCAGCACTATGTCTAACTGGGCCTGGTTCAGTTGGGCACATGGTGTTCTGCAGGTCACAGTGCAGCATGCTGCTGGTGCAGCGTCAGAGGAGTAGCGTTAGGATTAGTGCAAGAGTGATAGGAGGTTAGCGGAGGAGCACAGGAGATCAGCAGAGGTGCAGCGTTGGACGAGACTTGCCTGGCGCCATTGCTTGTGCATCGCCTGGCCCCAGTTGGCCATCCACCTGCAGCACAGACATCTCGGGGCTTTTATCTTCTGCTGGTCAGTAGTATCTGGTTAAGAGAGAGAGAGAGAGAGAGAGAGAGAGAGAGAGAGAGAGATCAGGGACTTGGTGACCACCTCCAGGGCTCTTCCTCAGCTTGGAGACGACATTCCGGCTGAGAATATATATATTTCGATATATATGTATTCATATGTACACACAGAGAGAGAGAGAGAGAGAGAGAGAGAGAGAGAGAGAGAGAGAGAGAGAGAGAGAGAGACTACATTCGGACTGATAATATTTTGGAACTATTGCGAGAGGCTATTTTCAGTTGACTGCGACATGGAGTTGCAGTCTCTTCTTCGTCTTCTTCTCCTCTTCCTCCTCTCCCACTTTCGTCTCATTCCTCACCGTCATTGTCCATGGATTCTCTCTCCATGTGTGTGGAGCAAGGTGACATCGTTATTCCATGTATGCGCCCGGCTTGCCCCTCCCCCATGTGATGATCCATGTGTGTTTCCGGAGTCAGATGTGTCCGATTTGAGCTTTTTCAGCATTCCACTGCTTGCATTCTTGTTTCTCACACTTCAGTGATTCCTTGAATATGCACCATGCCTATCTGATAGAGATGTATGAAACAACTATCTTTTCTCATTGACGCTGAACGTCTTCTGGTTTGTGTGAGAGGGGAGATGATAGCGATCATTTTCGGGGTGTTTTCCTGCAGTTGTATTGGCTGTGCAGTTTTTTCTCTTGCGGACCGTGTGCACTTTTTTGTTCGCGTGTATCTTTCGGATTCTTTCCAGTTTTGCGATGACTGCTTTTCGGTCTACGAGTCTTCTTTTCCCCGGATGGACGCTTTTGTATGCTGAGCGGGCCAAACCTTGTTCGCATACGTCTGCTGTAGTTGGTCTTGTTGTCGCTTTTGGGTTTGCTAGATGTATGTTGAAGGACAAATGTGACCACCATAATTGCGAACGCAAGCAGCTGGGTTTGGTCTGAACCATGCGAAACATGTTTGTGTCAAGGTACGGATGGGTCTTTCGAAGTTTTTCGACGGTCGTCGCCTCCCACGCTTTCTCTCCATCCTGAGATTTTGCGCCCGCCCGTCTTGAGACACGTGGTTGAGGACTGTTTTTTCACCCACTGCTGTGACTGCGTTTGGTGTGGCTCCCATGTCTGATACCTTGGCACCATGTCTAGCCTGCTCTTAATTCTGAGATCCTCCATGGCTATCTGGAAACACACCGTTTCCGTGGCTATCTTGTTGACCGTCATGACGGCTGTTGATGCGGTTCTTGCGTCCATCTTAATTTCGGATGCGTTGCTACTATCACCAGCGTGACGTTCCTGATCTGATGATGCATGTTGGTCAGACCCCTCCCAGAATCTATGTTAGATACCCCCTGGATGCATATGTTGTGGTGGGTGCTTTCACGCTCGACGCCTATTTTGCTATTCGTCGATGAAGGTGTTCCCGAAGAGATACTCCTCCCCGGATCTATGTTCAACACTCTCTGAATGCATACGCTTTGGTAGGTGTTTTTGTGCTCACCACCGGTTTTGCTATTTGTCGATGAATGTGGTCCAGAAGGGGGATGATTATTTTATGTGCGATCGGTGCTGGTGTCTTGTATCGTCATGTCTTTTGTTGTGTGTGCATGTCCAACTCTGCAACCGTGTGATTGACAAAGAATGGTCAGGATCATAACAAACTCTGTATTCGTACTATTCGATACTCAGTGAATGTGCACCCGTGAGTTGGCATTTTTGCGCCCGTTTCACGACTTGGTTTTAATAAATGTGATTCTGAAGAGACGTGCTGGGTGGGTGGGTGATCTATGCACATATATGATATCGTCATGGCTTGTGGTGTGTGTGTGTGTGTGTGTGTGTGTGTGTGTGTGTGCATGTGAGAGTGATCCTCTGCAAGCATCTGACTCACAACGAGTGGTCAGCAATGTGCCGAAGTTGGTGTTTGAAAGTGCTTGTTGGGTGGGTGGGTGATCGATAGACGCATATGGTATCGTGATGGCTTGTGCTGTGTGTGTGTCTATCCTCGAGTGCCTGCAAGCGTACAATTCTCAAAGAGTGGACAGCGTTGTGCCAGAATCTGAGTTTTGGACTCTGCAAATACATACCCGTCGATAGACATTTTTTCTCGCCTCTTGTCACTCGTTAGTAAATGTGATTTGAAGAGAGACGTTTGTTGGGCGTGCACAATCGACACGAAGTCCATTTCTTTAGTGGCATTATGGCTCGCGGTGTGTATGCATGTAGTTAACCGCCTGCGATCGTCTGACAACAGGGGACCCAGAGGTCTACCTTTATTGGTGCGACTTCGGCTACCCGACATTTGGCCATCCAAGCGCAAGGGGCCTCCCAGCAGTCGTTCTACAGGCCAGCAGCAAGTGGGAGCAAAGGCAACCAGGAGCAAGGGGGAGTAGATGGCCAGCGGGTGAGTGGTGTTCGCACAAGGCGTGGGGAACTGGGGATTGCGAGTTGGCGGAAGGTGTGACAGACCGCGGTGTGAATTGGTTTTCTTTCCGTGTGGTTGTGGACAGTTGCAAACAGAGCGATGACTATATGTGTCCAGACCACCGTCAGATTGGGAGAGAGTATCTCTCTCCTGGTGGCATTCCCAAATGTGGTTGAGTGCCAGCAGCAGGGTCCTATCTCCAATACGCTTGCTAGTACTGTGTCGGGACTGTTTCGGCATCCTCTCTTATAGGGTGGGGGAGTTTAACGGGAGTTCACCAGGTGAAGGGGGTGGATATAAGGTAGCCTCCTCATCTTGTCAGCAGCTGGACTGATTGAACCCCCACCCCCTCTTTCCAGCCTATTCTTTACCGCGGACAACTGCATTGTGATTTCGCAGCCGTCGATGTGATGATGATGAAACCTGGTGTGGATCTCAGGATGATGCTTTGCAGACTCAGGGCAGGGCATACTTACAGTATCACTTTCCTGAATGTATCTGACTGCAATTATGGCCTGACCTCTAGGCATTTGACTGTAATCATGGCTAGAGCTTAGTTGAAAAAGTCCTACTGTCTTCACCCGAATAGAACGCCCGGTCATTATAGCTGTATTTGGCACAACTTTCAGCCCAGATACGGCGGTAATTACCGGGTGTTCTATTCGGATGAAGATGGTAGGTTGAGTATGCCCTCAATCGCTCGCACTGCATGGGTGAGCCCCAAGTTTTCCATAAAAAAAAACTCAGCGTACCAATGCTGACCTGGACAACGAGGTCCAAAGCGGGTTCAAGCACAGACCACAGTACCTCGAAGGTGGTTCGAACGCGGAGCTGATGGCCCGATTATACGTCAAGGCAACCGTTTGCCGACATGTCCTATCTTTGAATGTTTTCTGTGTGGAAGGCTATTGTTTACACCCCTCCCCCGGCGTTAAGCGGGTAGATGTGTGGGCGTCCTCCACTCGATGACACAGGCGTGAATTGGGTGGGTTTGAATTTGTTGTGCCCCCCCAAAAAAAGATAAAATCAAAAGAGAAAACAAGTGGGTACCCCAAAGAATACCGAAGTAAATATAGTCAAGAAAGGGATATAATGGATTAATTCTGCTTCGTGTTGCGTGCTATAGAGGTAAAACTGTTACATTGTTGGATTGGCTCATCTCAAGTGTGCTTCATTGTCTGCAATAGAGGTAAAGCTGCTTCAATTTTGGATCTACTCATCTGAGTGGAACAGGGGCTGTTGTGGTGAAAATGTACAAGACATACAAATAAGCATACCGACACACACACACACACACACACACACGTAGACGTACACATACAGATACACAAGTTTTCGAACCCTGCTCCCGCTGCCGCCAATCACCTAACCAATATACACACTGATTTTTCTTGGATGCCTGTATTAATTGTTGCATAATGTACATGGAAAACCCAGTTGCACGGTTTCCACTCCGTGTACACATACATTTTTTTTTACTTTTCTTTAGCGACATGCTTGCACATGGGCCATGCTCATCTTCTCTGTATTGTGCCAGTTGTGTCCTATTGGTCGCGGGTCCCATCTTGGGCTCTTGGTCCTGGCGGTCCAAGTCCCATCTTGGGACTTTGGGTGCCGGTGGTCCCATCTTAGTCATCTGTCTGGGCTTTTCCTTGTCTCTTGTCTCCTTCTTCCGGATTGCTCTGCTGTGCACATCCTTGTCATATAACCTGTTTCAAGGGCCGGGTGTGCCTGCGTGTCTATGCCCGTGCTTGTGTTCGTGCATGTGTGCATTCATGTGTGAGGGAATGATGACGTCTGTGCCACTCTTTCTGTGTTACCTTGGAACCTTAACAGGGGCGAGCAGTGGCAACTTTTCTACAGTCACTGGGACTGGGTAAATACATCCCAAGCTTTCAAGCAGAGGAGGTAAGGTTCGCCATGCCCAACGCTCATCATCTTTGCGATTTCAATGGGCATGTTGTTATTTTATGAACTGCCTTGTCAAAGAGGTGGGGAGAGTGGGGTAGTGAGGGAGGGGAAGAAGGGAAGAGGGGGGAAAGTGATGAGAAAGGTGGAGTAAAGGAGCAAGGGAGGTGGCCAGCGGAGTGATGGAGAGCGGGGAGGGGGGAAGCAAGTGAGGTGGCAGGGGAGGTTGGCGGGGGCAGGGGGAGCGATGGGAAGGGGGTTTTGGAGTGTTGTGGGAGAGGGGGGTGGGAAGATCAGGAGGAGGTGTTGCTTTAGGGATTGGGAGCGGCAAGGCAATTGTATTGAGACTTGTGTAGCAAGCAAGTTGATGGGCTGAGTCGAAAGACCCCTGCCTATAAGGCATACCGGCCCTCTCCCCCCAGCCCCCCCTCCCCCCCCACCCCTCTCCTCCCTCCACTTAAGTTTTGCCTAGAAGGATGTAAGCACTTAATCGAGTAATTTGACCCCTGTTAATCAAATAGTGCTACAGTCTTCACCCGAATACAACGTACGGTCATTATCACTGTATCTAGACACAAAGTTGCCCCAAATACAGCTATAATGACGGTACGTTGTATTCGGGTGAAGACTGTAGTCAAATCAAACTTGCTAGAACAGTGTTGGGTCAGATAGGATGTTGTCGTTTTTGCTAATTTTGGTGCTACTCAAAAACAGGGTATGTCATCTAAATACCAACTGGCCTAGCTCAGTTGGTACACCCCTGAAGTGTTGAAATACAGACCTGATTTCAAACTCCACCCGACCAAGATGTAGCTGATGAGCAAAATACTGCAAATTTGCCGGTCAGTTCAAGTGATCATATCTCAAGGCCATTGCCCTTTAGCAAAAAGGTATGTCATCCAAAGTAGAAATAAGTTGAAAGTGAATAGCAACGACACGTAGCGTAAGTGGGTGCTTGAAAAAAAGGAAACGGTGTATGATGCTGATAGAACTTTTGGGTGAGGGTAACCGCAAAATTGGTGGCCACATCTTAGACAGAAGAAGAAGAAGAAGAAGAAGAAGAAGAAGAAGAAGGAAAAGGGTACTTCAACACACCCCTTAAACCACCAGTACTTGCCCCAGCTATCGAATGTGGGAAGAAATGGAGTAGAAACGTTTCTAGTCGGATGAATTTGGGCGCTCTTGTAGTGGCCCGTACGTTTCCTAAAATCGTGGCGCGTTAACGGGCACGACTCTAGGAAGTACTGGTGATTAAAACCACGTGTTTGCCGCCCAGGCAAACTTTTGAGTCCAAAATGAGGCATTGCTAAAAGTCAGGGGACTCACCCCAGGGTGGGCGTAGGGGCAGGTGGATTTTTTTTTTTTTTGGTCTGATGCGGCACCAGTGCCAACCCTGACGCGTGGGACAAGAAAAAATTATGCCCGCCTCCAGGCCCGCCCTGGGGAGAGTCCCCTAACCTCTAGGAATGACTCATTTTGGCCTCGAACGTTTGCCGGGGCGGTGTACTTGTGGTTTAAAATCACTTTTCAGCCCTGCAGACCCCCTCGGTGACCTTCAGCAGTCGTTTTGTGGACCGAGGTCACAATTGGATCACATTGAACATGCACAAGTGACCAGAGCGGTCCTGCCTCGAGAGTCTCGTCTCCAAGGGCTGTCTTTGTACGTGTCCGGTGTTCCAGAAGGGTTGCCAAAGGCCTTTCTGGCAAGTCGCCCCCGGCGGACGGGTGAACTATCCTACCGCCTCACCCGAACATAACGCCCGGGCGTTGTATACGAATATAACGCCCGCATCGTGTTATATTCGTTTATAGCGCCGGGGCGATATGCAGTAAATTGGTGGCAACTTTGGTTGGGCCCAAAAATCCCGGGGAAAAAAAACAAAAAAAAAATTCTGTTGAAAAACAATGTTGTCCGGAATTGCAGTGCGAGCAACGTTTGGCTGAGTGTCACTTCATAATTCCTTATAAACGCGGAAATAAAAAAAAATGAAAACAAAAAATCAAACTGAAACATACACTCCCCCCCGCTTGGAAGTCGAAACCCCTTTCAAGTTTCAACCCCTTTGAAAACCCATGTCCCCTCTTCCTGCCCTCCAAAACGGATGTATACTACCTCTACAAGGCACTCTGCCCACGGAACATTCAAATAGAATGCCTGGGTGTTCGTTCTAGTTCTATTTGATCAAACGCGAATAAAAACAAAAATCGGATCTGTTTAGGGTAAGGTGAATATAACGGGCGGGCGTTATTTTCGGCTGAAGACAATCGGTAGTAATGACTGAGTTCCTCCTTCCCGCCGCAATTGCCTCTACTATCATCCTTGCAGACAGACTCCTCCCCTCCCACCGATTGACCACCACGGTGGCAGCAGCTGTACTCGTCTCCGGTGTGTCACGACAGTCGAATGTTTTCAAGTCTTATGCATGGTAAGTACTATAGCTCCAATCATGGCCACTAATAAAATAAGACTTGAAACCAGAAACAAATAAAAATAAGTGGTATAAAGTAGATTTCCTAAAGTTTCCAGATTCGTCCAACTTTGTATTTTGGAAGCATAAACCCTATCCCTTTTGATGATGCCAGAAGTCGTTTTGATATACGATTTTACCTTGTGTCTATTTTATTTCTTATTTTTGGGGCGACCGTTTGAGTCACCTGCACGAATGGTGTAACGACTGCCCCGCTGTCTCCAACATGGGCTCAGTGACATTGAATTCTCCGTGAAGATGCGGAGTACCAGCGGCTAGACGGTAAGACCCCGTGCACCTTTAGATTCCTCCATCCTTTTGCAGGATTGGATGTCCATTACTCGCCTACTGCGAAGGGTGCAGTGCCTGCGCTGGATTCGGTCCTGGATTTCCAGTGATTAGACCAGACCATCTGGTGATTTCCAAGTCGCTGCTCACGGCACGTGGGTAATGTGCAAAGTTATCTGCAAGACATGGCCCAAACTTTTTTTTTTTTTTTTTTTTTTTTTTTTTTTTTTTTTTGCCATGCTAATTTTCTGTGCATCGTTCCAATTTTAACGGATGTCCCGATGGACATAGCCCAGACCTTCTGCACTTGTCTGAGCTGAAAATGTTTTCAGACAGTGTGCACCGGTCGAATCTACTCATGGCAATGACAGACATCTCTGCGACCGTCAGCCAAAAAAAAACCTTTTTTTTGTCAAATAAATGCTTTTGGAAATTTTGTTGTTCTCAAAGGAATTTCGGTGCGCTGTGTAGCATTTAAACCGCCAGCCACTTTTTCAAAGTTGCGGCTTGCATGCTGCCAGGCTGGTGGCGCTGTGTAGCATTTGCCGCAGTCTGGTGGCGCCAGCCAAATGGAGGCCCGCGCTGGTTCCTCTTTGTTTTTAGTTCACAGCGTGTTTACTTCCCCAGAGAAAAGGTGCCTCGAAAGTGCTGGTGGTGCCAGCAAGACGAGTTTTGCCTGTGGGTCGGAAAAGAAAAAAGGGTTGCAAACAGAGCTTATATATATAAAGCGTTCAAGAGGAAAGTGGTCATTTGAATATTGAAAAAAAAAGAAAGGAAGAAAAGAACAGAAAGTTAGAAACACAGATTTTCTGCTTTTGCCGGCATTCCTTCGTCTTGATTCAGATGTCAAGATGTTAGCTGGAGCCAACCGTCTTCACCGGAATGGGATGTGCAGTCAGAAAAGCTGTGTTCGCGAACTTCAGGGCGAATTTCAGTCTAGATACAGGGATTATGACCGGGTGTTTTATTTGGGTGAAGACGGTAGCCCTGGTCCATTTCACATTGGGCTTTGGTGGATGCAAAGGTCAACGTAGCCCGTTGGCCACGAAAATAAATAGAGAAGGACATCCTCATCTTCTGCAGGAGTGTAACTAATGCTTAACCAATGAACATGGCTCATTATCTTGTCTGTGTGCAGGTGGATATGGCGGCTCTACGACATATGACCGAGGAAGATCTCAAAGAGCTTGGTGTTCCTATGGTAAGCATACGTTTGTCTCTTACTCTGGAGGAGTGTGCAGTTGTGTGTGTGTGTGTGTGTGTGTGTGTGTGTGTGAAACAGCACACATTTTTTTTTTCGGGTTGAGATTCTATCTGTATGTGTGTGCGTCTGTACTTGTGTGTACATGCATGTGTGTATGTGCATTGTGTTTTCGTGTGTGTCTGTGTCCGTGTGAGTCTGTGAGTGCTTGTGTGTGCATAGGTGTGCCTGTGTCTTTGTTGTGTGGGTGTGTGTTTAAATTTTGTGAGGGTTCGTTTGAAACATTCCCCAGGTCTACTAAAGAAAATACTGGAGGGTATATTGGAAAGTTAGATGGTAACCGGTAGGGGTATATTGGAAAGATGGACGGTCCAACCGATGCCAGGGGCATTTCACAAAATATGTTTTTTGTCAGAGAGGCATTCCACTCCATTCACATCTCTTAGAGGCATTTTGCCATATATCTCAACTTCTGGGGGTATTTTGCAAGTTCGTCTTTTTTTAACCTCAAGTTTGGCTAAGAATCTGAAGATGCCTTCCAAACAAAACAAACGTTGTTTGTATTATTAATTTACATGACATATAATTTTTTCAGATTTTCCCGGTTTTTTTTTTTTTAATGTCCGCGTTCTCCGATTTTTGGAGTACGTACACACGCTCATGGGAACAGGGTGCTACACAGATGCTATCCAGTTTCTTGTTTTTTTTTTTTTAATGTTCGCGTTCTCTGTATTTTGGAGTTGGTACGCACATACTCACGGGGTACGTACACATTTCCCCCCCCGTACGCGAACGGGGTGCTACACAAATGCTATCTATTAAGTTTTCCGCCTGCACGATGCAGTCATTGTATACCGCGGGTCGAAACTCGTTGCCAGTTGTTTGCGGAAAGGTCCATTGCTATGACGAAAACCCTTTGGCTCTGAATGGCTCAGCGACTGCCGTCTTCACCCAAACACAATGTACGGGCATTATTGCTGCATCTAGACTCGAAGTTGCCCCAAATACTGTTATAATGACTGCATGTTATATTCAGGTGAAGACGGTAGTTTGGAAATCCGGATGCCTTTCGTTTTCACACAGTTAAAGCTGCAGCGAGTGTGCTGCAAGGTTTTTAGCGAAGGATTCGCATTTTCTCGTCTTTCTGTCAAATTCAACTTGTTTTTATTAACCTGATTCAATCTTTCTTGATTAACAGCAAAATAACAACAATTATGTTTGAATTTCAATGTTGTTATTTGTTTCTTTGATGGCTGGAAGTTCTTCAAAGGTATGAAAAGCTGGAGGACTTTGTACCATCCATTCAAGTGTAGTTGAATTTGGCTCAACTGCCCAAGGCGCTTGCAGAGCGCGCATTTCACTGGTTAAAGTGAGATAAACGATTCATTGTCCTGATTGTTTCATTTGGTGGCTGTGTGCGCAGGGACCAAGGAAAAAGATTATGCTAGCCCTGAAGCAATGAGCAATTTTCGAGTGTCCGCTGATGTGAGGTCGTGATACCTTCACTTGACTACTGCTTGCCGGGCGGAGCTGATGTGCGTGTAATCAGCCTATCCGAGTACCGGTGTCATATAAAGGGCCTGTTTCTGTAAAATTGGCTTAAGTTCAGATACTTTTTCTTAGACGATATCCATATCCACAGGCCGAGCGAAGCATATCTGTCCGCCTCGACGTACTCCTTCCTCTATATTTCACACAGATTTTCTCCCTCTCATTTTCTAATTTGGGAGCGCACTAAGTGCACAGCTCGAGTGATGGGTGTGTTTCCTGGAGTCATTCCAGCTGGACGGACCAGTTGCGTTCCCGCAGGACCGATTGTATTCCAGAGTCGTTCCAGCTGGACGGACCCGTTGTGTTCCCGTGGCATCGATTGTATTCCAGCCGCACACGTGGTCCTTACGGGTTGGTCCGGCCGGGTGAAAAGAGCGTTTCAACAATGATAATGATCGCGAACGTTAGGTCAAGGACTTGCACAGTTGCGGCTGCAATTTCTTTCAAACACATAGGTAGAGCGACGGGTATGGTTCTTGGAGTCGTTTGAGCCGGGGTTAGTTGCGTTCCCACTGGACCGGTTGTATTTGAGCTACGGACGTTGCCCTGCAAGTTGGACTGGCGAGGCGAAAAAACAAGCGTTTCAATGATGGTGATTGTGACCTAGGCTGTATTTGAGCTACAAACGCTGCGCTACAAGTTGGTCCCGCGAGGTGGAAAAACGAGCGTTTCAACGACGATGATCGGGAACGTTACGTTAGGTCAAGCACATACACCGTTGCAGCTGCGATTTCCTTCAAACGCACAGCTCGAACGGAATGATGGCTGTGGCAACTCTTGGAGTTGTTGGTCCAGCTGGGCCAGTTACGTTCCAACAGGACCAGTTGTATTCCAGATGGCACTTATTGCTGGACAAGTTGGTTCGGCGAGGCGGGACGAGCATTTCGAGGATGATGATCGTGAACGTTGCACTAGGTCAAGGACATACACAGCTGCAGGTGGGCTAGCTGCCATCCCAGTGTGCGGATTCACATTTTGCCTCGTTCTTCTTCTTAGGCATGCAGTCGAAAGTGGTGTCCTAATGTATTCGAAGTTTTCAATTTTTGAATCGCGTCGAATTTTACCAAATCTTCAGTTTTTTGAATCGCATCGAGTAAAGGATGTGCGGATGGATGCGAGAATGACAAGGGTCTGTGCATGTTGTTCTGTTTGATTTCTGTTGTGAAATGGCTTTATTATATTGCGGATCGCTCGCTCTGTGAGTATGGATTACTATGGAACTAGCCAAGGGCAAGCAGTATGCGATGATCTGATGCTAATCAATGTCTGGACACCGGAATGTTTCTGAAATCGATGTGTGGATCGGCTCTCGGTTAAACCGCCACTACCTTTCACTGGCAAACGCGAAGTCCATCTAGTAGCCTACTCCTTGAAGCACGGGGCTCGGGGCAAGGTTGGAGGCCGACGAAACAAAAAAAAAAGAAAAGAAGGACGAAAAAAGAAAAAAAACGAAAGTTTTCAAATCCAGGGACGTCGGGAAGGCCCTCACGAGGGTGGAAGTTGCAGAGGCCTTTGATGAATGTATCTGGCCATTATGTGGGGAAGGGGCTTGCTTTTTTGTTTTGTTTTGATTTTGTTCCCATGTCGTTTTAGTGCCCTGCCAGCCAGGCAGGGCGTATTTCACGAGTGGCACATAACTGTCTCAACGCTGTAGCATCTGTATCCACCCTCAATCGCAGCATAAGGGAGCTTTTTTTTTGTTTTGTTTTATTTTCCTTTGTGTGTCCCCTACACGCCCTCACTGAGGGCACAGTCACACGAGCACCTCATAGAATGTATCTGGCCGTTATCGAGGCATTTGGGATGTTTGTTTGTTTACTTTTTCTTCTTTTTTTTTCCCGCTTGTTCCTTCTTGGCTGAAACTGCCCCGGCTCGGCAAAACTCGGTGCGGTGTGAAAGTCAGGCTCGGCGAAAACAGTCTTGGCTGAAACTGCCCCGGCTCGGCAAAACTCAGTGCGCTGTGAAAGTCAGGCTCGGCAAAAACAGGGTCGGAGGTAGTGGTGGTTTAAGAAAAAGAAAAAAGAAAGAAAAAAAAAGATGGGTTCTGTGAATTTCTCTAATTCTTAGACTTGACAAAAAAGAAGAAGAAGAAGAAGAAGAAGAAGTAAAAATGGGTTCATTGTGCTGATTACATAGCATTAAAAAAGAAGAAGAAGGAAGAAAGAAAGAAAGAAAGAAAGAAAGAAAGAGGGGTTCTTTGCCAATACTATCTTCTTTGTTTGTGTGGTTTTGTGACCTTTCACGAGCCCTGTGCATTGAAATGGTAGATCCATCAAGTTATGGATGTTGGTGAATCTATTAGGGGCAAAGGTTGAGTGGTTTCCCTCTCCTTCCGCGGCTATCCCTTTCCCTCCCTGCCTTCCCTCCACCAGCCTCCTAAGCAGGCAGAAAATATAAAGCGGATGGCTTCATGACCTTTCACGCCTTTCTTGTGCTTTGAAATTGTAGATCGATTCAGGTGTGGTAGCGAGTAAACTATTACGGATAAAGATAGGGCGGACTTCGTCCTGTCTCTTATACACATCTAGATGTGTATAAGAGACAGGTCCTGCACATAATAAGCAAGTGGAAAAGGTAGAGTGCATGGTTTCATAACCTTTTGCCTCGTCTTATGCCTTAAAATAATTACTACGTCCATGAAGGCATGGAAGGGGGTGAACTATTACGGGTAAAGGTAGAGCAGACTCCCTCTCGTCTCACCTCTTGCCCTCCCTCGCCCTCCCCTCCCCCCATGTCCTCCCCATAAGGAGGCCGGAAAGGTAGAGCGGATCCCGCCCTCCTATCCATGCCTACTCTTCCCCCCACCCCACCCCACCCCACCCCCTCTCGCATCCTCTGAAAAGAAGCAGGGGGTAAAGGTAGGGGTTGGATTCGCCTTTCTCCCCCCTCTCCTCAAGTTCCCTCCTTCACTTCCCCGTTGATTGTTTGGCACGTTCGATTATACGATGGACTAACATCATTCAGAAATTTCTGTGTTAGGGGTTGCCCAAAATTTCACGATGCGCCCACGAACGTCATTTGTAATGCTATGTAATCAGCACAATGAACCCATTTTTTGGGAGAAGGGCGTTAAACCACAAGTACACGGCGGCCCCCAGCCTTGCAGTCCAAAACTTGTGGCCACAAGAAAACGCTGGACCCGCCGTTGATAAGTTCAATTGGCAGTCGCGTTTTTGTTTTGCGGCACCAGAATTTGAGGTGTCAGGCTGTGTAGCATCGTGTTCGGGTTCGGTGACAGAAGCCGAACATTTGCGACCGAATGCGAATGAGCGCCAAAACCCTCCGAACGGAAACATACAAATATTTATATATGAAAAAGAAAAACAAATTCTCAGAAAAATCTGAAAAGAATACATGTTATCATTGTTATGTAAAATAATTCGGCAAACAACTTTTTTCAAAAAATCATCGAACTGACCTGGGCTCCCTCAAATTCGTAACCGAACTTGAGTTGAAAATCAAAAACCAAAAAACAAACCTAAAAGAAAAAGTTTTTTTTAACTTTCTATTTTTATTTTTTTAATATGTTCGACCGAGCACGGCTGGGAGGCATTCGGCCGAACACTCGAACATGTTCAGACGTTTGGAAAAGCTCCGAACATGTTCGGTGTGCTACACAGGTGTCTGGCACGCAGCCCAGGTGCCCATGGACTGGTGGTGCTTTAAGGCCATGTGTGCTAAACCCCTCACTTGACTCACTTCCCTTTTTTTTCAAAGGGACAATGCCGCTCACGTTGTTGTTGAATCACTCAGAAATACAGCCAGAAGCATCTTGCTGGCCCAGCCCCAGTCTTTTGGAGGGGGATGGTATGAGCATGTCCTTCTAGCAGATGCTCCTGGCTGTATTTGGCTCACTTTTCATCCGAATAGGGCACCATGTTGCTGGTCATCTTGCTGGCCTAATGAGGAGTCCAACGTACTTTGTTTTGGCGCTTTCTTGCCGAGAATAAAATGCAGGAGGCATCTTTTACTGCAGATACGGCGCACAGAAAGAGTAAACTCAGTAAGTGCTTTTTTCAGAATTTTTCTGTATTTTTTTCAGAAATTTTCAGAATTTTTTAGATATGGCAAGAATAAAATGCGGGAGGCGTCTTTTGCGGCAGAATGGCGCACAGAAAGAGTATTCTCTTTTTTTTTTTAATGAAAAAGCCGGTCCTGTTGCTTGGACTCTGGAGGGGTGATATGAGCAGCCCCACCTAAATGAAAAACCGGTCCAGCGCTTTTTTTTTTAATGAGAAACCGGTTTTTTAATTAAAAAAACGGTCCAGCTCTTTTTTTGAAATGAAAAACCGGTTTTTTAATGAAAAACCGGTCCAGCTCTTTTTTTTTATATGAAAAACCGGTTTTTTAATGAAAAACCAGTCCAGCCTTTACGGTTATTCCAATATGGTTGCCCGGAACTTGCTCCAATAGAAAGAGTAAACTCGGTAAGTGCTATTTTCAGAATTTTTCTGTATTGTTTTGGAAGCGACGCTGTGAGTTTGTCTCTCACCAGTGTGCTTTTTCTGTGTCTGTGTCTGAGTTACGGTGACTCACCGACCCTTTTTTTAATTTTTGGCTCGCTGACCCTAGGATGTCAAGAATGTAACTCTCTGCTGTTTATTTCTGGCAAGGACTGACTTTTCTCTGCCTCAAGTGCCGGATATGATGTTGATGCAGCAGTAAATCCTCTGTGCGCGAATTTCTTGTCATAGACGACAAACAAACGCTTAGTAGCAAGTTGGCGCCTCGCAAGTTCGTCTTTTCTGTAGAAGTTAGCCAGATACATGCTTTACTATAAATAGTTCCAGAAGTATTTGGCCATCTTCGGTGGGAAGATTCACTTAAACTACTTGTACCTTCGCCGAGTGGGAAGATAGCGGCTCTCGGGTGGGGCTTCTGACCTTTAAGGAAGCGGAAACGAAACGATGACCGCCGGCGAGTTTTATCAATGGCAGCCGTCGGTGGGCCCGGCCTCTGATTTTTCAGGAGTTTGGGAAAACTGCCAGTTTTACCTGTTTTCCCAACACTGGCGGAGGTAGCAGTGCTTCAAGAGTTTCTTTTTTCGTTTCGTGCGTAGTGCGGTGAGGCCCTCAGTCTTCCATGACAGCCTGATATGCTGTCGAAATGTCCGATCGCTTCCGTGTGTGAACCCTGTTTGTGCCATACTAGATCTGCTTAGCAGAGTGGGGTTTCGTTTGCCAAACCAATCACTGTGCTCTCTGTTCCATGCGCATTGATTGTCTGAATGTTTCAGATCACTAACATCACTTCAGCTGTGCGAACACTACTGTCTTCCGTTGTGTAGAACGTATGGTCATTCCAGCCGTATTTGGCTTACCTTGCAGTCCAGATGCAGCAAAAATGAACATATGTCCTATTCAGGTGATGACGGTAGTGTGGGTGGTACCCTCTGATGAGCTTTCGCTCCCTTCCGCAGAGCCAGTGACGGTAATTCAGCTGAGATACAAGAGCATAGTTTTCAACAGTTGAGGGAGTAGACAATCCCGTAGTCTAATATAGCGCACAACGCAGACTACCGTCTTCGCCCGAATAGAACACCTCGTAATTATCGTGGTATCTGGACTGGAAGTTGTCCCAAATACAACTATATGGACCAGACGTTTTATTCAGGTGAAGACGGTAGTTGTTAGTGTAGGCTAGTGGGTTTGGGCTACGGGCCGTATGGAAGAGGTTGAGGGTTCGATTCTTACCTGGCTGGACAGGTTGTATAGTACAGAAGTGCCCTGGGATGCAGGCAGGAATATTGTGGAGGGGTAGATCATGCGAATTGGTTACCTTAGGGCTCTGCTTTGGGGGAGCAGGGCCACAGGTGGGATGAATAGGGGGTCCCGTAAGTGGGGGGATTAGGAAGGAAAGCCCTGAAGCAGGGCCTCCCTGGGGGATAAAACTGGAATAATCCCGCTCGATGATAGAGGTAAGATGAACGGATGGTGGCCTAGTACGCAGTTACAAAAAAACCTTTCGGGTTTACTTCTTTTTTTTATGTTCTTTTTGTTTAATTTGGGAGGTTTTCGGCGAAAGATCGGAATATCGCATATAAATTATCAGAAAAGGTGACTCCGGGCCGTGATCGAAGTTCATCAAACAACTATTGACGGTACCTCGCTTGGAACGTCCCGATGAATGAGACTGGTGCTGCTTGGGATGAGGACTCTAGGCTGGGGTCTAGGAGGACGTCTATATGTAGAGGGGTGGATGATTTTGATTCAAAGGGGAACCACTACTGATAATAGATTAGAACCTAGGCTTCCAGCCGGGACGTGTGCTCAGCCTG